TGTGATCTCCAGCAATGAGACTTGAAAGTTGCGAGAAGGTTATGGATTTGCGTGTAAAACGGATACCTGGGAGATGATGATTTCCATCTTTCCCCGAATGATCGACGCTGATTCAAGCCAGTGCCTCTTTGTGAAGCCATGCAGTTCAAGGTGTTTGTTTTTGCCAGTGATGTTAAATATCATGACAAGCATATGGCAGAGTTGGCACATGACCAATTTGCTGACAATCGGTGATCTGAGGCTTTTTGTTTGGTGGAAGACTATTGTGGAAGCCATTCGATTGTGTGATCATTTTAAGTCGCGTGCTTTTTGAGGGTGGTATGGGAAATGAATGGTACACTCGTGGCGCCCATACGAGCATTCCCCCCTGGCATGATGTGGGCGATGAAAGAGCTATATTCCATTCATGTTACTTGATGAGAACTCGTGGTATTTGACTGTGATCGAGGAGAGCACTAGTGAATGCATGCGTCGTGGGTACAATTAGGTGGCTGAATTTGGGCGGAAGAATATGTCCGTCAAGCTGTGTCGATAGGGGACATGTTACCATCGGGATTTCGGGCACACCTGCCCGTCGAAAAATGTGTCGTTCAATTGTGTTGCAGTTGTATGTGTACTGGACGTTGTGTGCAGCGTTTGACGCCATCAATTTGCCAGGTTTGTACTCTTTCTGGATTCGGCGATGACGAAGTCAGGCTTTCTGGCCAGTTGGCTACGGGGGGACTCATCTCCAATGAGCCGATAATTAGTATGACCTGGATCCTTTCCTGTTTTGAGCGAGCCCCCCCTCTTACGGGTTTGTATCGTATTTCTAGTGACAGTAATTTGTGTTGGGAGCTTCCTGTTGCCTAGGCGGGGATGTTTTATCCGAATAGGGGAGTAAGGCCGAGGGGCCCACTGGCAACTGCTTGTGCCACTACATATCTCTGCGGGTCGAATAACTTATTCGCTGCTGGAATTGCACTGTAATGAACGTCAATGATGTACTGACTGTCAAAGTCTCTGACAGCGTAAGTCCAGCAGTCATATCAATGTCACATAGAGGACACTACGGCATTGGAGAGGCCGATTGTTTAATGGAAGGAGCTGCGTGCTGAATGATGAGAGCCAATTGAACTGTAATGAAAACCAATGATGTACAGACTGTCTAAGTCTCTGACAGCGCAGAAATCCGGTTGGAAGTTGCTAATGAGCCGGTGCACCTGCCAGCGGTGCACCTGCCAGCGGGAAGGCTGTGGAAGGCTGTGTTCGTCGGGGTGGTCGGTTTATCGTCCTGAGGAGGTAATAGAATTTCGACGTATGCTACATACCCTTTTTGCCCTGGGATGATTGACTCGGAGTTTTTAATGACGAACCCCATTACTTTTTTTTCGACCTCGGAGTTTTTATTTCACTTGCGGAAGTCATTGACGGGCTACCTGGAAGTTTCTGTTTGCTAATAATGCTCACAAGTTGTCCTAGGGAGTTGGGAGGACATGCAGTTAAGGACAGAAGCTTGAGGGCATGGGGAAAGCATACCCAGCACGCCTCGTGATTTTCCCGAAAGAACTGCAAAGATCCAAATAGCAATAAGAACTGCTGATTGGAGATTGTTTCGTAGGAGTTGCACAGACATATTTGGAGGTTTTATACAGGAAGAATCTGCGCAATCCCAGTACCGTTGATTTGGGTTTCAACAACCCATTCGACTTCTGTTGAAGGCAGATTGTCCACAAGTGGAACACGGCAGCGGGGTAAAACGAAGGCAAGCCCCTGGGAATCCGCATCGTCTACTCGCTGACTGTTGGTCCCCACCACCTGCAGAGCCAAAGAAAAACTCCGAAAGACGTCTGTCAGTACCCATTTGCACCTGAGACATCACAGACCAAGCGGGCTCAAGGTGCTCAGTCCGGTGCAGATTGTGTATGTTTGTGAATGGTGTGGTTGATATGGGATATGTGAAGGGCCTTTATGATGTTTTAACCATGCTAATTCTGACGACTCTTTGGGGACAGGAAAATTTCTGCAAATCTGAAAGGACCTGCATATTTGTGTGATTGGTAGTTTCCAATTCCAGTGCTCT